AGAGGCCCCAAGAGCTCCGAGAGGCGTCCCGGGAGAACCCGAAGAGGCCAAAATCCTTTGGTGCTTTTGCGGTTTTTAGCCTCCTCGCGTTTTCGAGCTTCCAACGCTCCAAGACGGCCGAAAAAGGTCCCCAAGACCGCCCCAAGACCGCCCAAGAGCACCCAAGCGGGCTCCAAGACGGGCCAAGAAGGGCCCAAGAAGGCCCCAAGACGGCCCAAGAGCGCCCCGAGACAACCTAAGAGACCCCCAAGATGGCCCGAAGAGCCGCCCAACAGTGGGACCGCAAATCGACAATCCCAGCTTTCCGCTCCAAGAGGCCCCCAGGAGGACCCAAGAGGTCCCCAAAGAGCCTGAAGAGGCCCCCAAGAGCCCCGAAGAGTTTCAAAAGTGGCTCCAAGAGGTCCCAAAACAGCGCCCCCGGCGGCTTCCACACTGCCTCCCATGAGTTCCCTGCACGCCTCTCAGGCCCCCCCCCGTTTCTTATTCACTACATGTTAACCCTGGGAAGCAATCAGTAAACCCCCCTCCCCCCCCCCCCTCATCAGAGGAAATTATAACGCTTCTGGCACCGGGGCCGGGGCGGAAGCGATATCCCCCGCAGGTCACCAGAGGTCCGTGGAGGGGAGGTCCCCGGAGGTTCCCAGGAGGCATCCAGAAATGCTTCCACAAGCCTCTGAATGCCCGGTCCCCTTGTTCCCCCGAGCCCAGTGACAAGGCACACCTGCCCAGAGTCGCTTCCTGTGATTCTGTGCGTTTCTGTGAGATTCCCCAGAGATTCCTTTGATACTCCGATTGGCTTCTTTTGAGATTCCTTGCCGTTTCCATTGTGATTCTTTTGGGGCTCCTTTGAGACTCCTCTGGTGTTCCTTTGATGTTGCTCTGGGGGTCCCTTGAGGTTCCGGTCATATCCCTTTGATGCCCCATTGCTTAAGGGAGCATCACATCGACATCCGGGGCCGGTGGATTATTTTATTTTCAATAAATGTGCTAACATATCGCGGGGGGGTTCGCGGAATCCGTCTGCGATATCTATCCGTGGACTCTCCCATAGGATCCCCTGAAATAATCAATTTCCCTAGTGCGGTCGCCATAGGGATTGCTTATGTCCACGCGAGCCCGCGTTTTCCAGATTGCTTAGATTCCTTCGTGGTTCGTTTGAGCTGCCGCTGAGATCCCTTTGCGATTTCTGTGGGGTTCTTTTGAAATTGCGATGAATTTCCAATAGGGTTCCTTTGAGATTCTGCGTGGGCTTCCTTCTGAGATTCCTCTGGGATTCCTTTGGGGGGTCCTTTCAAGTATAGCTGCTTGCGGTGATTTCATTGTTTGTCGTTTTTGATTTACCTTTGATTTCCGATGCGCGTCAGTTTCCCTGTGTTCTAGGCGGGAACCCATTGGGAAGCGTTCGTGCGCATTGGTTCTTCAGGCTGTCGCCTCACGTTGCCGCCAGCTTCGGGCCTGGGGGGGGGGGCAAATTAATTAATTATTTTATTATATTTTTATGTGCTAACGATATCGCCGGAGGGCGCCGCCCAAAATAATTATTTATTTTATTTTCTGTGCTAACGATATCGCCGGGGGGTTTACTGTTTGCTTCCCAGGGTTAGGAGGCTCCATTTGATGACAAAAAACAGTCCAGTGATTCTCTTTTTGTTCGAGTTCACCCCGAGCCCCATCAAGACTTCCGGGTCGCATTGCAACGATCTGTCGGGAATGCTGTTGAACTCTCTGACGCTGGCTTGGCAGTCTCTTGGGTCGTCATCGTGTCCTCATGGCTGCCCCTGAAACCACAGTGAAAATCAAACTCCCATGAGTTTACCTGTCCATCCTAGCTAGAACGTCAGCGCGCGCGCCAAGAAAGAGACACAAGAGGGGATACCCCAAAGAATTACGAGCGCTTTACACCAAGGTGGCCCCAAGGTTCTCCTAGAGGTTCTCGAGGCGCCCCCCAGATGCTTGCGGAGACTCCTGGGAGGCTCCCAGCAGGCACCAAGAGCTCCCCAAGAGGCTCCGAACGACTCCCAAGACGCCGCTAAAAGGCCCCCCAGAGGCATGGCATTTAGAAAAAGGGGAATTCCAAGAATTCTTTTGTTAAGCCCCTGCTTTATTTTCGCGCAACAGACCATGATCAAGGCCCCCGTCACCAAGAAAGGTCCCAGGAAGCCTTCGAGGGCCCCAGATCATCGAACACCTACAGGCAATATATGATTTTGTGGTTTCCGCATCTCCTCTTCTATACGCTTCCGAGGCGTTCGCACGGATTCCAAGAAGGTCGTTAGATGCACACGGCACTTCAACAATTGTGATTCCATGCGTTAGCCTGTCGAGCTTAGCTAGAACTTGAGCACGCGCGAAGCGCGTGGACCGCCATATGTAGATACGCACTCCGTGTACGTGCCGCCATGTGCCATTGAGTGGCGGACAGAACCAACATGGTACGATGGACACGTTCCTGGGCCCGGACAAGCCTTGGCCGGCCCGTGGGAGAGGGGCCTGTCGCGCTGCAGCGACGTCGGCAGGGGGCCTCGTCGGCCGTGCTCTCCGCCCCCCCCCCCGGGAACTCGAGGGATCGCGCAAGCTTGGATTCGGGCGCGTGGAGCAGCGACGGGCCCTTTTCTCTGTGCAGCATCCGCGCGCTCCGGTGCTGGATCTGGCGGCGTTGGTTTTGTGCTTCCAGTCGCACCTTCCGGAAGGCGCGGGGCTGGCGCCCGGTGCAAGTGATCCTCCTGGCATCGCTTGGACGTGTGGGTCTTTCTTCCGGCGAGGACCATCGAGGAGCATCCTTGATCATTTGGCGAAAAAGCCACGCACGAAACTGAAACAAACACAGGGAATGGACGTCCGAGCGATGGCCAGTTCTGAGTCGCAGGCCGCCGCGTGCAGCAGTTTGCAGCGACTGCGGGGGGCACGAGCGATTTCGCGAGCAACAGTCCCTGGCACGACTGCACCGCGCCTCTGCGTCCACGATCGACGGATCCGGGTAACGCATGTAGGCGTGCGCCCGAGGAGCCTGGCACCGACTCCGCCCTTTGCGGGGGGGGGGCGCTCGTGCTGCCCAGCAGTAAGTCGGGCCTGTCCCTCTACCGGAGGAGTATTCAAAAATAGCAAAAAAATAGTCAGGGGACTTTTCTTGGAGTATTTTTTGACCATTCGGAGCTCTTTTTTGTTCTTTAATACATAAAAGCCAGAAGCAAAAATACAAAAACAACAACATCGCCCAAAATGCCCCTGTACGGGGGACAGGCCCGACTTGAGCCCAGCACGGGCTGGGGGCCAGGGCTTCGTCCGCCCCCCTTTCTCTCGCGGCGGCAGGGAGGCCCCTGGGGCCTCTGCCCTCCGGGCGTCGGGCCACCGCGCGGCCCGCAGGAGGCCCCCGTGGCCGTGCTCTCCCGTGCCGTGAGGGCGGGCCTGTGCCCCCTGCAGGAGCAGTGTTCAAACATGGTCCAGAAATAGTCTGGGGACTATTTTTTGGTTATCTTTTGTGGCCGTTTTGGAGTATTGTTGGACTTCTTTTTTTTTTCCTGCAAGATCCCCCTGTATGGGGGACAGGCCCGACTTAACCGTACCGTGCTGTGGCCCGCGGGAGGCCAACCGTCCGGGCCTCCCCACGGGGGTTCGTGCAGATGGGCTTGGGGGGAGCGCGCCGCATCCTCCGCCCCCGCATGAGACACATCGGCGGTGTACTTCATGATATCATATCGCCCCTAACCCTAATAGCAATGACTCCGTTGTCCGACTTGGGTCCACGGTTTTGAGAACCCGTCCCTACATGTCAGGGGTGATCTCGTCTGATGCCTTGGCAAACAGAGATCCCCGTTCCGTAATGTTGTTTTTGGTCCTTCTGAGTTTGGTCACCTCCCCGATCCTCCACCCCCGTCCTTTCGGACCCCATGGAGGAGGCCTTCAATTTGGCCGTGCGTGCAGCCCTGTTTGGGCTTGCCAGGCGCGATCCTCCCCTCAGGGGCAACAGTAGGGAGGGGATGGGCCCAGTGGGGAACGCATCGACTCCCAACTGTCGACTCATCACCGACGGGGGGCCTGACAGCCCACCCCACGCAGGCACGTGCGGTCGCTATCAGGGGCCCATCGCGGATCCATCGGCGATGTCGCCCCCCACCCGGTCGGTCCCCCCTGCCGTCTCCCCCTTAGAGGCCCTTCCCCCCAGAGGGGGGGAGGAGGGGAAACGATTGGTTTATTCTGCCCACTTCGCAGCACTTGAAGACGGGTTCCTCGACGCCACCAATCGCCCATGCCCTTAGTCGGGGCAGCTCTGCTGACGCGGCGCCCTCCTCCTCCTCCTTCTCCTCCTCCCTCCTCCTCCTCCTCCTCAGGCTTGAGTCAGGGGCACTCGCTCGCAAACCCGCGGAGTTGAATACCGGGCATGATATCGACATTGGTCACATTTCGTTCCAGTCCATTCCGTTCCGTTGCATTTCATGATCTCCCATTCCATTCCATTCCATTTCATTCCATTCCATTTCATTCCATTCCATTCCATTCCATTCCATTCCATTCCATTCCATTCCATTCCATTCCATTTCATTCGTCGTCGTCGTCCTCCTCCTCGTCCTCCTCCTCATCCTTCTCCTCCTCCTCCTCCTCCTCCTCCTCCTCCTCCTCCCCCCCAAGTAGGCCTAGAATCGGCATAGATCGCCCCAGAGCTTCCCTGAAACGCTGTCAGAGCGCCCCGGAGAACGCTCGGGAGCAGCCGCGGCGCCCGAGATAAGTCCTCCAGAGCCGCGGGGCCTCGGGGGATCCCCGCTGTGCCCCGATCCGTTTTCGTCCCGTCCCTGGCTTCGTTTCGGCACCCCCCAGCATGATGGGCCTGTTGTCCACCACCACCACCACCACAAGCTGGAGGGGGAGGGGTACCTCCTCCTCCTCATTCTCCTCCTCCTCCTCCTCCTCCTCCTCCTCCTCCTCCTCCTCCTCCTCCTCCTCCCCCTCCCCCCTCCAACTTATGGTGGTGGTGGCGGCGGAAAACAGGCCCATCGGCAGCACAGGTGCCGTTCCCGCAGGCCGGCGCCGGCGGCGCCTCCCACGACGCGCGGCGCCGGGACGCCTCGCCGCGGCGGGCCGCGGCGGAGGCGGCGGCGAGGGGAGGCCGCGGCGTCCGCTGGCGGGGGCGTCGCCGCCGCTCGTGGCGCCAGCCTTCGTCGGGCCCCCGACGGCCCCTCGGCGGCCCCTCGGCAGCGCCTCGTCGCCGCTCGTCGGGGCCCCTTCGACGGGGGGCCGAGGCGGCCGCTGGCGGCCGTCCTCGGCGCCGCCGCGTCGCCGCTCGCCGGGGGGGGCCTTCGGCGGGAGGCCACTCGTCGGCGGCCCGTCGGCGGCCGCCCTGGGCGTCGAGGGACACGTCAGGGGGGATGGTAGGCGTGGGCTCAGGGGGGTCGCCTCGGCCCTCGGTCCCCTGCTCGTCGCCGACAGGGGCCTGCTAGCCCAGGAAGGCGCCGAGGCACTGTCGGGGGCCCATCGCTGATCTACACCTTAGGCGATGCTTAAGCAAACTTAAGTTTTCGTCCAGAGTCTCGATTATTCTTAACTTTTCAATGTAAATCCTAAGATTTGAACGGATTTTTTTGGTTTTTTATTCAAGTTCTGAGACTATGAATTTCTTAACCCATGATTTCTTAAGCATTTCGCAGGGTGTATGACCCATCGCAGAGGAGGGAATGGTGCCGATGCCGCGGCTCGTCCTCGAGAGCCCTGGCCGCCACGGCTGGATTCTCCTCGAGATTCTGGTCACGTAACTGGGTGATGTCCAGGTCGACACTTCCAAATCAAAGGTACCCTTGCGTCCTGTGTCTCGCGACCCATGCCTTCTACATTCCCATGGCAACGTGGCCCTCGGAAGGGTCTTTTGTGTCCTCTCGCGTGTCCTGTCCAATCAAGTCCGACTGTAGCAGTGATGTCCAGAGTCTGTCAAGCAAGGGATGACCCTCGCTCCCCCCCCCTGGATCCCGATTGCCATGTATTCGCCGCCGTAAGGCCAGAACGACGCGACTGAGACTGAGATATATACATGTCAGCTTGTATTCTATGTATGAATGAATGAATGCATGTATGTACGTATGTATGTATGCATGTCTGTATGTATGTATAAGTATAAATGCACACACCAGGGGACAGGGCTGGTGGTTCCCAGGGTGGCCCCTCGACGCGCCATGGGGGCCCCGGGGCTCCGGCAGCGTGCTGGGATCGCGCTGGTAGGCTGCAGAAGCCCTCAGAAGGCGCCAAGAGAGCTCAAAGAGCGGTCCAACAGGCCTCCAAGACAGCCCAAGCGCGCTCCAAAACGCCCAAGATGGCTTCAAGATGGTGGTCGCGGGGACGGGGTCCGGTTTGCCCTGTTTTTCATTTTGTTGTCTCTATGCGAACTACAGCGCTGGGACTGACTATTTTTTCAACTGTCCCCTCATAATTTTTTTGAAAGTGTTCTATACATCATCGGTACGACATCACTTTTTCATTACCCCACCATGGGCGACCACCCAGTGGCGGCTGAACCGCGGCAGCGCCTCGGTGTCCTGGGCAGCGGTGCGGGCGGCGGCGGCGGCGGCGGCGGAGTTGCCGTCGCCGTGGCCGTCGCCTCTGTCGCCTCTGTCGCCTCTGTCGCCACCATCGGCGCGGTCGCCACCGCCCATGTCGTCTTCTTCGTCGTCGTCGTCGTCGTCGTTGTTGCCGTCATCGTCGTCGTCGTTCTCGTGTTTTGTTCGTCTGAGGAGGAGGAGGACCGAGGATCGGGCAGGATCGGGGGCAGACCTCCATCAATGTGGAATATCGAGTCGGCTTCTCGGGGCTCTTCTCGCGCACCTGGACTGTTCAAAGGTTGTCGACATTCGAGGCTTGATGTTCGAGGACAGGATTGAATGTTTGATTTGTCTTGTATGAGTTGTGTGAGTTGTTCTTGCTTGTGTTTGCTATTTTTGCCTGTCCGGGCCAGGCGGCTCCGCGCCGCCACAGCTGAGTCCCCGCCGAGATTCTGGCCAAAACGCGCCCAGGGTGAGGTCCCGGAGCAGTGTTCCGTCTTCGACTTACAGTCATCCCGCACAATAAGGATGGGCAGCCTTCCCATGGGTACCCTTGCATCCTTGCCCCTTCGGCCCATCCTTGGCCACTTTCGCTGGCCAACCTCGTTCGAAAAACGTTCACATTGGCCTCAAAGGCCCTTGCATCCTCACCGCGCATTTTTATGATACGTTGACTGTATAACCCTGACAGCCTGACATCGGTTGTCAGCCACGCGCAGACGGGGTGGGGGTAGGGGGAGGGCTTCTTAGAATCACCCTTACTTCATGTCAAGGTTCGGCCCTGCATGTACGGATGTAGGGCTAGCGCTTTCTAAGAAGCAGCCTCCTGGAGGATGTCTCGGGTGCCGCGGCCTTCTCAGAGCGTTCTGCAACGCTCTGGGAGCGTTCTGGAACGCCCTGGAAAGGACTCACCCTCGTCCCGACCCCTGTCAGGTGGGGAAGGCTCTTGTTCGGATCTAAGGGCGCATGTTGTGAAGAGTTCGCGACGCCAGGGGCCTCCTCTGCGGCAGCTTGGGGCAGTCTGCAGTATATTCCGGCAGTGCTTCCGATCCCAGTTGTCTTCGACGGCCAGGGCTTACAGAGAGGAGCGCTCGCGCGTGCTTACCTGTTTCGGCCCAGGACTTGGGCGGGTGAGGGGTGCTCCCCAGGACTAGCTGCCCGCTGCCTTTCGTGCCTCAACTCCGTCCGCGGACGGCAGCCATGGCCGCCAGCCTGCCTTTCCAGGGCTGCGACAAGCCCGCGCTGAACACCGACGACGCGCCCGAGCAGTGGATCGGCGGGAAGCGGCCCTGCCGCGCAGCGCAGCTGAAGGAGCAGCAGTGGCGCCAGCGGCGGACCAAGGGCCTGCCAGCAGCCCCGCTGGGGGTCCTGTCGGAGTGCCTCGAGGACTGCGAGGAGTGGGCCGCCTCCGAGAGCGGCGAGGAGTTCGCCTTGGCGTGCTGGGCGTGCTCTGCCTGCACCCTCCTCAACGCCGCGGCGCGGGCGCGCTGCGGCGCGTGTGGCGGCGCGGTCCCAGCCCGCGAGGGGCGCCCGGACCGCGCCGCCGCGCCACACGGCGGCGCCGCGTTGGAGCGCGGCGGGGACCCCGCGGCTTGGCCGAGCCTGGGGGAGTCCGTAGACACCGCCTGGGCGCGCTGCGAGGTCTCGTCCGTGGGCGCGTCGTCCTGGCTGGAGGTCGAGGACGAGCAGGAACTCGCGGGCTGGCTGGACGCCGACGGCGCGGCCCTGGACGACGGCGAGGGCAGCTGCGCGTCGTTCCTCGTCGTGGCGGGCGCCCCGGCTGCCGAGGACCCCGCGCCCGCCGCGGCGGAGGTGCCGCCTTCCTGGGCCGCGCGGGCCGCCGCGGGCGCGCGCGCCGGCGCGCGCGTGCCGGCGCCCTCGGTGCGCGTGCCCCCGCTGCGGCGGCCGGCGCCGCGCCGGGGCGCCGCGCCCGCGGGCGGGGCCGGGCAGGGCGGCGAGTGCCAGCCGGACGCCCTCGACCAGCTGGAGGAGCGGAGGATGCGGCCGGCGGGGCTGCGCGGCCGCCGCGGCCGCTGCCGGTGAGGGGCGGGGGGCGGTTCGCCTCGGGGCGTCCGCCGCCTCGCAGGGCCGCCCTTGTCTGTGCCGCCTGCCAGGGCCGGCGGTAGCGTGTACAGATTCACGGACCAGCGGGGCGATGACGGATGGGCGCCGCAGCCCCGATACGATGGGAATTGTTGCTCTGCCTCGCTCTTGCCGGAGGACTTGTACAGTCGCCCTCCAGTGCTGAAGTGCGGTGGTCGTCGGCAAAAGGAGCGCGCGTATGCCTCGCTGGAGATTGCTTTTGAACATGGTGTGGGGCGCCTGCACTGAGGTGGGGGCATTGCGCGACGACGAGGACGACAGCGACGACGACGACCACCACCACTGTGCTTCAGCCGCGCCGTCGTTTTCTTTCGGCAGAGTTCGCCCGAGCGCGCGGGCCCCCGCCGCCCCGCCTCTCCCCCCCTGGGCCATACCGAAGCTGATATTGGCGACTGCTGCGATCAAGCGGACACGGCGCCCCCCCCCTCCCCCCATGTTGGGAAACGTGGGACTCGAGTTCGCCAGAACTCGGGTTTGCCGACGCTTTTGGACCAGCGCGGCCTGGATTTTGACGGTCCAGTTTTCGTGGGATGTTTGCAGCGGGAGCTCGCGTCAAATTTTAAGATTGGTTCACGTCATTTTCATGATAGCCCCGACAGACCAACCCGAGTCCCCCGCACCCGAGTCTTACGTCTTCCCGAACCATGGACATGCGCCTGATGTTGATGTCCAGAGCTGTGCGGTCATTGCCTCTTTCAGGGGGCGTTTTGGAGCGGTTCCAGGCGCTGCGTTCGCCACTTTACAAACGGGCACGGCGTTTTCCTGCACACCTTCCTTCTCTCCTCGCTCCTCCCTCAACCGCCGCTGCTGTTGCTGGTCTTGCTACGCCTCCGTCCAGTGTCAGCGCGCGCTGCTCAAGAATGCGAACTTTCGAGAATTCCTCGGAATTCTTGACGCTTCGCACGTCCTTGCAAGTCCGTCTGGCAACGACGTCCAGGCGAGTTTCACTCATCAGGTAAATGTAGCGTCGTGCAGCAGAACACAAAAGGAGGCAGCAGTCAATCCGAAGTTTTGGATCAGCCCGAGCAGACGCAGCATTGAGCCACATGATGTGCCCTCACGGCCCTGTCGCATAAGGAATCAGGAGGCGAAGGAGAACGGATTATATGGAGGAGGAGGAGGAGGAGAAGGAGTAGGCGGAAAGGCGGAGAGGAGTGTTATGAAGGGGAGGAGGAGGAGGAGGAGGAGGAGAAGGATATGATGATTTTGTTGATACTGGTGATGATGATGATGATGATGGTGGTGGTGGTGGTGATGATGATGATGCCGATGATGATGATGATGATGATGATGATGATGATGATGATGATGATGATGATGATGATGATGATGATGATGATGATGATGATGATGATGATGATGATGATGATGATGATACTGATGATGATGATGTCGATGAGGATGCTGATGCTGATGCTGATGCAGATGTT